CCCAAGGCAGGGCGCTCGGCCCGCGCACGGGCCAATCCGCAGACGGCGTGACCGTGAGAATGGTGACGGCAGCCCTGAACACGCGACATCGCACACCCTGAGAGTCGACCTCGAGGGCCTGCACCCGCAAGTCGTAAGCGGGGGCTCCAGCCACGCCACCGCCGTCTGGCTCCGCGCCATTCGCCGGCGGGGGGCCTCCTCCAGGGGCCGCCGCGGGGGGCGCGGCCGCCCGATCTGTTCCTGCCGCGGCTCCGGCACCAGCAGCCCCTCCGGCGGGGCCAGGGGCGGTAGCGGCCGCTGCGGCGCAGCCCCTCCTGGCCCCGGCAGGTGCGGCCGCTGCGGCCGGCACGGGTGGGCCCGCGACCACTGGGGACACCCGGGTGCCCGCTGGGAAGCCAGCTGCAGCAGGTCCCCTCAGGGAGGCGGCCAGGGCGGCCGGGCCCTCTCCGTCGGACGACGCCGCGCCACCGAGCGGCGGGCACGGCTTGGAGACCACGACCCTCTCGTGCACCACAACTGGTCCAGGGGCGTCGTACCTGACCTCGAGGAAGCCGCCCTCGCTGAGGCCACCAGCCTGCACGGGCATGCCGGCCCCTACCGAGAGCGGTCGCCCAACCGTGCTCCGTGAGAAGGGCTCGGCCGCCAAGGCGAAGCCCCGCCACGCGACTCCCGCGGCCATCGCACCACCCACCCGAGCCAGCAGCGGCAGACCGCGAAAGCGGGAGACTGGGGCCGAGGCGACCGCGCCGCCGGCCAGCGGCAACCCGCCACCCTGCCGACCCTGGGACGGCTGCGCTGCCTCAATGATGTCGGTCGCCACGGCGGTGTCCTCGCTGTAGTCGTCGTGATATGGAGTCGGAATAGTGTATACTCCTGGGCCGGGCATGGCACCCGCCATCACTGCCCCTCAGAGCGAGAGCTCACCCGCCGCTTCAGCGCCAGGGCCTCCAGCTGCAGCCGGGCCTGCTCCGCGATCGGCCCCACCTCAATCGCCTCCGTAGTCACCACTCGGGCGGGGTGAGGCGCGCTCCGGGCCGTGGAGGCCCAAGCAAGGGGTAGCCGTGCGAACGCGATGCCGATGCTGACGAAGAGGATGCCCCAGAGCAGCGAGCCCAGCCAGGTTGCGCCGTTAGCCTCCTGCCTGCTCACGCTACCGCAGCTGACGGTGGGGCAACTCGAGCAATCACAATTGACCACGGGCCGACAATCAGGGCACTGGACACGGTTGGCCCAGGTGAGGACGGCCGCTGAGGCGGAGGTGATCAGAGAATTAGCGGCTCCCTCGAAGAGCACCTCAGCCCCACCCAAGATGGGCATTGGGGGGAAAGAGCTTGAACCAGAAACCGAATTACGGCACACTCGTCAGCTGGCTATTGCTTCTACTTTGAAAAGAGGACATATAAATATATGATTATGCTACATTGTATTTGAATAAAGGCTCCGTCGTCGTCGTCGCCGCCGTCGCCGTGGTCGTGGTCGTCGTCGTCGTCGCCGCCGTTGTCGCCGCCGCCGTCGTCGTCGTCGTCGACGTCGTCGACGTTGCCGCCGCCGTCGCCGTCGTCGTCGTTGCGTCGTCATCGTCGCCGAGACGGGGGGAGGGAGGAAAGAGAGGGGGCGCAGATCAGAAAGTAAGAGCGAGGCAGGAGAGGGCACAGGATGGAGAGGGTGAGGACGAGGAGGAGAACATATGGGGAGGATTTCCCGATGTAGGGAACGGGAGGAGGTGGCCCTGCTGATGCCCTGCCCCCTTCTGGCCAGAATCCCGCATCGTTCAAAGCAGTGCCGGGGGACTGTTTTGAACGACGCGCGTTGTTAAAAGCAGTGCCCTGGCACTGTGCTCGACGACTCCCTTATAAGGGCCATCGGATTCGACCCCATCTGTCTGCGCCATTTTTCGAGCCGGATCGATCTGTGAGGGCCCAGAGGCCCTAAATGGGGCGCAAAGGCGCCCTTTTGTGAAAAAATGCAACTCCAAGATCTCAGGGGCCGCCTTCCTGTTTCTCTCCGCGGCGACAGGAGGCTTGGCTTTCGTTGAGCAGGGACGACGTCCCGGCATTTCTATAGGCCTACCACGAAATTTTCTTAGAACCCCAAGAATGTTCGAACAACAAAAACGATGTTCTGAGAACATCAACCCGATGTGTTAAAACAAGACAGTCCCAGCTAGAAATGTTCTAAGAACATCTCGTGCAGACCACAACAGGTTCTTAGAACAATCTTTGGTGGGCCTATCGGCGAGCTAGGACGCTCCGTCACTGCTTGATTTCGGGGCCTACCTCGGGTCTCTCTAGCGGCAGTTCGGCACGATCTGGGGAAGCCCCCCCGGAGGCCCCCTCGGCGAGGCGCAGCTGCTGGAGAACAGGCGGAGGCCGGAAAGCCTCGGGGACCGACGAGAACGTCCGAAAACTCCGACCCTCGACCACGATGCCAGGGCTGCACGGTTTCCTCCAGGGCCGTAGGCGACCCGAGAAGGAGGAGGAGGAGGAGAAGGAGGAGGAGGAGGAGGAGGAGGAGGAGTGGGAGAAGGAGATGGAGGAGGAGGAGGAGGAGAAGGAGGAGGAGGAGAAGGAGGAGGAGGAGGAGGCGGAAGAGGAGGAGGAGGAGGAGGAGGAGGAGGAGGAGGAGTGAGGAGGAGGAGGAGGAGGAGGAGGAGGAGGAGTAAGAAGAGAGGAGGAGGAGGAGGAGGAGGAGGAGGAGGAGGAGGAGGAGGAGGAGCAGGAGCAGGAGGAGGACGGGTCGTCTCAGCCCTTCGGAGAAACCCTCCAGCCAGGGCTCGTGGGCGACGATCGGAGGTGGTGGCTCATGTGCGTAGATACCCTGAGATCCTGGCGTTGCGATTTCTTCACACCGGGCGTTTTCGCTCCACTTCGGGCCCCGGGACCCTCACAGATCGATCCGGCCCGAAAAATGAAACAGACGAATGGGGTCCGGGGCTCCAGTCGTGATTGTTGCGATGCTGCAATTTTCTGCAACGTCGGATCTCAGGGTGCATCGATATTGGCTAGCGGCTAGGCCACCCTTGGCCCAGGGTCGACGCCCTCCTGCCCTGGCCAGGAGGGCGTATGCACCGATCCTGGGTTCAGGCTGGGCCTGGCCAGAATCGGTGCATGAGCAAAAATCTTGGGGAACCGACAGGTACCGATACCGCTACTCCCTGGGCCTCTCCCGGGGTGCGTTCTAACCCAGATTTCGGGGCGAATCCAGCGGTGGCGACGAGGGGCTCGCAGGAGGCCCAAACTGGCGAGCACGAGGAAAAAGTAGGGGTATGTGTACTTCCTCCTCCTCCTCCTCCTCCTCCTCCCCAGCCTCCTCTGAAGTTCTCTTTCCTCTATTGCGAAGGCCTTACGGCCGGTGCCGCCGACCCTGAAGGGGCACGACGACGACGACGACGACGACGACAATGGCGGCGACGACGACGACGACAACGACGACGACGCTGACGTGGGCCAGAGTCCTCAGAGATGCTTCTTGGGGTCTCTTCGGAAGGCTCTCGGAGGCCTCTGGGGAGGAATGAGCCCTGGCATCCGCGGATGGGATTTGTTCCATCCGCGGCCCCAGAGATCCCGACCACTTCCCCAGGGGTAGCCTGTTGCCATGGTTCCATGCTTGATGGCCCCTGGGGCCCAATAACGGTCCCCCCGGGGGCCGAGGTCGCGGCAATTCGCCCGGATTGGAAAAAGCAGATCCCCTTCTCGGCGGCGAATTTAGGGGGGAAGTGAGAAGGAGCGGGCCTTCTCAGAAGGCTCGGAAGGCCTCGGGCCTTCTGAGAAATTGCCCAGGCCTTCCCCGAAGGCACAAAACACTCCTCAGAAGGCGCGAGGCCTTCTGAGAAGCCCCGCCGCCTTTTGAGAAAGCCTTTTCCTTCTCGCTTCCCCTCCGGGCGCGCCACTGAATTTGTTTTTGGGGTCGCAATTCGGCCCTCCGTTCAGGACGATCTGGGCACCCGCGAACGCTCTCGGCGAGGCGTAGCCGCTGGAACGCATCCCGAAGGCAGAAATCCGCCTGGAAACCACGAAAACGCCGGAAACCCTCGAACCCGAAACTACGAAACTCGAACCCTCCTCGCTCGCCGCCGAGTCTGGGTCAGCACTCCCCCCCCCGGGAGCTGCCGATGTACAGCCGAAAATACGATCAAGAAAACTACCATTTAAGAAAGATGGGCCAGCTTCCAGGAAGTTTAGTAAAACAAGCCTGGACAAATTGCTGTCATTGATGCTGGAGGGGCGAACGTGCCCAAAAACACTGGGCCAGCTTTCTGGCAACCTTGTTAAGGAACACTGGCCCGCTGGCCCAGCTATTCGGAAGGAGGTTTCTGAATCATATGCTCGACCGTACTTCTCTCGCCCCGAATTTCGGGGGCCCTGTGGCCCGACAACGGCCTCCAGGGGCCCCAAACTACGAAAAAACGTCTCGAACCTCGCAGCTCGAAGTTCGAACCCTGCAGTTCCCCCCCCCCTCCCCTCGCGCGCTGCCGTTCTTCTTCTAAATCGGGCGTGTCTTCCTGCAGGCGGATTTGCACAGAACACCAAAACATAAGCAGAAATAGTGACAAAAATAGCCGAAACATCGCCGCCAGATCATTGATGGACTATCTTTGAATACTCCCCCTGTAGAGGGACGTGCCCGACTCAACAACGAGAGGCCGCTCGCCCCAGGCAACTCGGGCGAAGGGTCACCCCCGCCTCTTGCCGACACGGAAGGAAACAAAACAATCACGGGCGGATTTGGGGCAGCGTTCGGCCTCCAAGGGGGGGCCCTCGCCGGGCCCTGGGACAGTCTGGGAGGAGGAGGAGGAGGAGGAGGAGGAGGAGGAGGAGGAGGAGGAGGAGGAGGAGGAGGAGGAGGAGGAGGGGACCCTCGCCGGGCCCTGGGACAGTCTGGGAGGAGGAGGAGGAGGAGGAGGAGGAGGAGAAGCAGCAGGAGGAGGAGAAACGACCTGGGATGACAGACCGGTCCCAGGGACATGCCCGACTTACATCTGCTTCCTCTCGCCCCCGAGC